TCCCCTCACAGCCAGATCCTAGGCTCTGCCCAGCTCCTGTCTCTGCTTGCCTCTCTCCCGCCTGACCCTTACCTGCTCCAACTTCTACACTTATCATTCCCAAACTAATCTCCCCAAAGTCCTTAGTGACTTCTGGTCAATCTGACCTCCCCACATCCCATACATGCTTTCAAACAGCTTCCCTAAATCCATCCTAAACTGTCACTGATAATCATTTGTAAGTGAACTTCCACCTATCTTCTGCCCCAGACAGCCCTGTGTCTAGAATCTTCCACTCCCTCCCCACATCAGGGCTTCTGGTGAACAATCACAGGCTTGTAGGTCCCGACCATGGCTGATCTCCCCTCTCCAAGGCTGCTCCAGAGTGCTCTCATTCTCCCCCCACTACCCCGTAAAGACACCTTTCCATTCTGCTACTGTCACCAGGGGACCGGCATCATGCCTGGTGATGCCTCCTCTTCTCCCCTGCTCCCCAGGCACATTCTGCCTGCTACTCTCCAGCTCTGCCCAACCTCACCCACTGGGAAAATAACCTCTTTCATCTGCACCTAGTCAGCCTGCAAGCCTCTGCTGAAGGCCTAGGAGGCATGGCAAGCTTTCCAAGGTGGCCCACATGTATCTGCCCTGTCCCTGCTCAGGCCCTAACAGCATGAGAGCAGAAGAGGAACCTTAAGGATTCTGCCAAGCTTTGCCCACCCATGTGCCATCACCCTCTGGGGCCCAGGGTCTCCCTGACAGTGGGCTCGCAGCACAACCTGGCTGCTCCACACTGTTGGCCTCTATAAGGGAGGACAGAGAGGCCCAAGCAGTAGCCTTGGGACTGTTAACCTCATCCTGGTCTGTCTCCCCACTCAGCCCAGTGAGGTATCTGCTGTGCTCCTGGTGAGCACGCCAGAGCCCCTACTTCTCTCCCCAAATCCATTCGATTTCTCCTGCAAGGTCCTTGTGTTAGCTTCCTGCCAAGCCATATTCTTCCTCAAAGCTGCAACCTGCTCCACCTACAAGTCCTCCTGAGGAATACAGTCCTCCTAGAGCTGGGGCACTGGCTCTGATGCTGCTGCCTGTGGTCCATGCCTGCTTATCCCCACCATGCCCTGCCCACTGCAGCTCCCTGCCATGGCCCCTGAGGTCCACCTGGCCACTGACAAAACAGGATAGTTTAAAAGATACTCTGCTCTGACATCATCATCTAGAAGTTTTTTTGCTTGTCTGTTTTTAACTTAAATTCAAGAGTCTTTAAAAGGATAGCAAGCGTTTTTAGCTGAGAGATCACCTCAATGTCTAATGCTGTTAAATATATGGGAGAAACCTAGCTTTAATTATACCTGTCAGGCACTAGACCTACATATATATTTGCTTGTCTAATCCTTCCAGAAATTTATTATTAGAGACATTACAACATTTGTTCACTAGTGAATCCTACCTCTTTTGGAAGTTGGGCAAACTGCCTTGACCACAGAACTAAAACCAGGTAATAAATTCACACTGGAATGCCTACCCTCAGAGTCTGAAGCTCATGCTATTTTTTACTCTCACATTGATCAGGCCATGAAATAAGGAGGCTGTCAGCAGCAGTGTTGAGACGGGACACAGAGGGATCCGAGGCAAGAAATGAGTGAGTGGGTCACTCAAATCACCCAGGAAGGAGGCTGTGAAGCCCTGATGGGAAATAAACTGGATCAGTTCTGGCTGAGACAGACAAGACACAAGGGTCCTGGGAACAGCAGTGACTCTACTGCAGCTCAGGAAGAAGTGGCTTGGGCCCAGTGCTAGGAGCCTAAAGAACTCCTGAAACATCACAAGTCTAAGAGGCCCAGAATAGACGTATAAGAAAAAGAAACTGAATCAGTCTTTTCTTCTGTGTAGGCACTTAGGGGAGGCCCCCAAACAAGAGTGTGGACTAAGCCTGGGACTGGCAGGTGCTGCAGGACAGGAACCAGGGGACAGCAGGCTGGCCTGTGGGTATGGGTATGGTCTTGTCTCCATTGGTACTTTCAGAGTGGATGAGGAGCCGTGGTCAAGTTGGGAATGCCAGTGGAGATTGTATGGCAGCCTCTAAGGAGATGGAGACAGCTTCTGTCCAGGCTGGCGACAGAGGATTACCAGGCCTTGTGGGACCTCACGGTGGGAGCAGCAGAGCAGGTGCTGCCACCATACCACATGGGAAGAGGGTTCAAGTGCTGGCCCTCCTTCCAGGAGGCTGCAATGAAGGACAGAGGAGCAAGAGTGGGGCTAGGGAGGCACAAAGTGGAGAGCAGGAGTCTGGAGGGGTATGGGGCTAGGGAAAGGGAGGTGAACCAAGGGAACCTTGAGGAGGGGGCTGACTCAGTGGAAGTGGAGAAGGTGCGCTTGGATGGGTTGAAGGCAAGCACCTTTGCCCAGTGGGAAGACAAAGCTGGAGGAGAACCCTGGAGTGCTCTGAACTGGGACAGAGGGAAGCATCACAGCAGCATCCCTGCTGCGCACAGTCCACATCGGTGTCTGCTTTTGCTATTGCACCGTCTTAACCATGCACCACCCCTTGCCTCCAGACATCAATATGCAAAGCAGGTGTGTCACTGTCACTGTCAACAGAAGCTGAGTTTCTCTGTCAGAATTGAGTATTTTCACTTTCATCTCCTTTGTCCTCCACTATGCTTCCTCCTAAGACAGGGCTCAGCGGAGGCCCTATGGGCCAATGCTGCTTTTGCTGCTGCTGCTGCTGCTGCTGCTGCTGCTGCTGCTGCTGCTGCTGCTGCTGTCAGATTCCCGGTGAAAGCTCTTCTCCAAGGAAAGCAACAAATGTGCTGGTCCAGCCCTGGGGACCCTTCTGTCCCAGCACAGAAACCCCACCTGCTACAGCTATGCTGGGATCTGCAGAGAAACCATCACCTGGGCAAAGACAGCTCCTCAGGATGGGGTCTCCCCACCTATCCTTAACTCTAAAAACCCTATGAGAACATCAGGCAGCTTCCTCTGAGTGCCCTGCTTGCTCTCTAATCCCCCTGTTGCCCAGATTCCTTAAATGAAGACAGGGTAGAAAGAGCACAGGAAGTGCAGTCACATGACTGGAGCTTGGGTCCTGCCCATCCCCAGGGGCTGTGGGATCTTTCCTATCATTTTTGAGACCTGTTGTGCAACCAGGCAAAGTGGAGGGAAGGGCACCTGCCACTGGGCAGGGACATGCTCCTGGGGAGGCAGTGAGGGGCCAATCTGATAGGCCCTTATCGAGGTAAACTAATCTATGTGGTGTTATTCTCATTTTGGGATCTAAGTAAGTGTTCAGGCAGCTCAGTATAAGTCCTACACAGCACATATTCTCAGGAGCTCAGAGCCCCAGGGAGACACTCCCAAATGAAGTCAGTGCAATTTACAGACATCTATTTAAGCTGACTCTAGGGCAGGTTCCAGGATACACACGGAAATAAACACAGGTCTTGCTCTGAGCTCACAGGTGGCATCTGTCAGTGTGGCTGGGGCAATCCCAGCACAACTTGCTTGCTGTGGCTGGAACAGACCTTCCAGGCACTATAAGAATCTGAGTTCCTCTGAGGGCTCCTCAGACCAAGAAGGAAGTGAGCAGAGTTGCTGTTTGAGAAACCAGGGTAGTGCAGAGAGCCTCAGCAGAGACCTGCAGCCATAGGCGGTCCTGGTAGAGTTCAGTGGTTACACGCAGGGCTCCCATCATCATGGGGCATGGGGGGGGGAGTCCTGATTTGGTGAGCTTCACAAGTATGTCACTAAAGACTCAGTGAGAACAAAATGACAGGAGCATTAAGAAAGTGAATGAAGGTGCCAGGGAGATGGTTCAGTGGAATAAGCGCTTCCCTGGCAAGTGCAAAAGCCTGAGTTCAATCCCTGGTTCCAATCAAAAAAGAAAAGAAAAAGTGAATGAAACGAAAATAGCTCACAAGGAGTTACGCCTCCCCCAACACTCCAAGTCCTCCCCTGGACTGCTGAGATAATCATAGAAGGTCTGCTTGACTAAATGCCTAGGAACTGACTCAGTCATCTAGTAGCCCACTCCACAAATCATCCCCCTGAGGCCCCAATCGCAGCTGGCACTTCCAAGGTGGACCCTAGCTCTCCCCATCATCCTGGGGCCCCACCTGCCCCACAGACCCCAGAGCCCAGATACCCTGGGAAAGCCACCTTGTCTCTCATCTTCCTTTCTAGACGCTAGCTGGGACAGGAGACCCTACTCGGCCTTTGCCTAGGACCCAGGGAGGGACAGTTCAGGGTCTGAGAGCAAAGACACCCCTAAGATTATAACAAGGGGCAGAACCCGCTGTGGGAGGCTGGCACGTCCTCTGTCCCCTTTCCTTTCACGACCACATTGCCTCCTGCAGCAATTTCTGCCTCCTGCAAAGCGGAGTTAGCAGCAGGAGTGTTTAAAGGATGGGTGTTCACCAAAATTATCTTATCCTAGTCGTCAACCGGCGGGTGGCCTTCCGTGTGTACAGTCACTCTATACACAGGACTGTGGCAGCCCTGGAGTAATTCAATTTCTTCTCGTAACTTTCTTACAAAACTGTCCAGTGCGCACAGCACCGGAGAAAGGCATCACATTCAGGGCGCCTCGGACCTCACGCAGTCCCGCGAAAGAGTAGGGCGGGCCTGGAGTGGCCAAGGGCAGCCGCCGCGGGGAACGGTTCTCGCAGGGTAGCTCCGACTCGGCCAAATATGGAAGCCGGCAGAGACGCCGGGCGGGCTGGTGAGAAGTCGCCCGAGCGGCCCCGCTTCACCCAGATTCCCGAACCTCCTAGACCTGCGGCGCTCGGGCCACGTCCCAGAGTGGGGTGCTCGGGCTCGCGCGTCTTCGAGTCCCCCGTGGGAGCCCGGCTGGCCTCGGACCGGACAAGACGTCTGCGGGTGGCGCTGCCCCGGGTAGCGGGACCCACCAGGCTGCAGTCCGCGCCCCACAGCTGCTCGGCCGCCCGGGCAGTGCGCTGCCGCAGCTCGGTTCTCTCGGCCGCCGGCGTCCGCGCCCAGCTGGCCCCCGCCCCAGCGCTCCAACTCACAGTGCGAGCAGAGGGCGTCCGCGCTGTCCCGGCCTTCTGCGTGGGGCGCCGCCGCCAGGCTGCGGCCGCTCGGCTCCCTTCCTGGAGCGGCCGCGGGAGGGTGGGGCGGAGACACCCGAGGAGGCCTCAGCTGGCCCGGCCGGCGCGCCCCCTACCTGTCCCGAACCCTCAGCCCCTGCCGGTGACACGCAGCTCCGCTTTCTCGCGTGTGCTGGTCTTCAGCCGCCGCCTCCGCCTGGGCCCTTCCTGGCCAGTCTAGTAAGAGCTCAAGGTCCCGCTCCAGTCGCTTTTCAGCTGAGCCCCTCCAGGAGGCGCACACGGACTGGCCCGCCCGCCTGCCTAGCTGCAGCTGCCCTGGAAGCCTTTGAGTTGCAGAGCTTGCCAGCTAAGGAGGGTTCCCCAGGCAACTCACGCGGGCATGGGGCCACTGCTGCTTCCCAGAGAGAGAGAATCACATCTACTGCGGGAGGAACCCTCAGGGGTGCACAGGAACCCAGCAGAACAGGAAGGTAGTTGAGATGACATCATGAGGGAGACAAAGGACAGGGTCACCAAGTGTAGACTCCAAGTGGAGTCCAGTGGAGCAGCTGCTGCTGGCCATTAGCTGCTGTTCACCTGTCTCTGATTGCTCAACAAGTGCCAGAAATCCAGCCTGCAGACATTGCTTCAGAACTCTAGCTCCAGCTCGCCTTCTTCTTGTGGAATTTGAACAACAGGACAGGACAGACCCTCAGTGAGAAGCCTAAGCTCTTCTCTCTTCTCCCATGACTACATCTCCTCTTCTGGTTACCAATTGCCTGCCTCTCCTCTCGTTACCCCCACAGTGTTATGCAAGTCTTTCCATGTTTTAAAAGTTGTGCATCCTAGGGCCGGGGAGATAACTCAGTAGAATAAGCACTTGCCAAACTAATGTTTGCTTAAGCACACATTCAGGAGTGCTCGAGCCCCTCGTACTGTCGTTGGCTAGGATTCATGTAGGAGTCTGAGCTGGGGAAGAGGGGTTTTAGACCAGTTAGTTAGAAGTCAATGCCAGGTTTTCAATTCCTTTTGTTGATCTTGGATTCCTAGGCAGGATATCTGGGAGAACAGAGAGGACAGGCCCTGGGATTCAGCTCATTTGGACATAGGACATACCTCTTTTGTCAACAATGTTAAAGGTGGATGGGAAGGACAGGATGTAAATGTACATACCAGGTACTCTATTCAAGATTTTATGCATACAAATCAAGTTTATCATCAGCCTTGTTTGGTAGATGAGTGAATTTGTATGTTGAACAGTTTGCCCCAAAAGTCAGAAGTCTTAGTCTGATTTGATCCTGGGCAGTCTGTTTCTGGTGCTTCTCCTGGCCACTATACTACCTTGCCCTTTAAAGAATTGTTAGGTGTAGGCTCACACAAAGCAGTCTTTTTTCTTGGTACCAGGTATCTAACTGAGGACCTTGCACTTGCCAGGCAGGTGCTGTACCACTGAGCTACACCCCTAGCCCACAAAGTAGTCTTAAAGTGAACAGACACTTGAAGTTAGTATTCTGAAGACATTTAACATTAAGTTCAACATTACATCTAACATTATACAGAATTCACCTATCAGATTAAATTTACTTGGAAAATAAGAGAAGATTGTATCACACACTAAGTTTTTAAGCAGAAAAAAAGACTTAATCAGGGGCTGGGGAGATGGTTCAGTGTAATAAGTGCTTCCCTGGGAAGCTCAAGGGCCTGAGTTCAATTCCTGGTTCCACAAAAAAAAAAAAAGGACTTAATCATTCTGTCTATTACTTCTTCATACTGCAAGATTGGCCCTGATATCAAAAGGCATGGATTTCAGCTGTGTAGCTTACTGGATAAATTGGGGGTGCAAACAACTGAAGCTCTGGCTATCAAAGATGGAGCTGATGGAGAGGTTGAACACCAACCTCCTGGAATAGCTGGTGGACAGCTTGTCTTCTCTAGGATTTTCTGAGACAAGACTAACTTAGTGAGTGGTTGAATAGACCAGAAGTCATACTTTCCATCACCTAGAGATTGGTGAGATCAGACAAGGAGAAGAATCCTCTTCTCGCTTTGGGTTGCACCTTTGTCTTCCATTACAAGTTATAATGGAAAGTCTTTGCTCGTCACAGAAGCCATGGAAAGTGTGACAGTGCAGCAAAACACTCCCAGCACAAGCAAACCTCAGGGGCCTGTGCCCACAGAGTGCTCGCTTGCTCGCCCAGTAAGTGTTGCACTGAGGCGGCGTGTGAGCCCAGGTCTGTGGGTTTCTGTATGTCACTTCCTGACCTGGTGGTATGCAGCCCCTTTGCTTTCATCAAACAGCCTTTACTCCTACTCCGCCTGTGTGCTGACCATCACAGGAGCCTGGGGGTGGGGGGCTGGGAGGACACCAAGGGACCAGGGAGCTTCTCCCAGTTCAATGTATTTCTAAGACCCTCTTTTCCAACAGAGCCTGTGTGTATGTTTCTAGAAACTGGGATTAAAAACACTCAAGTTTCTTTTGCTTTACCTTGTTTCACATAATTATTAACTACTGTGTGTAGGTTCAGCACAAATGCTGTTGTTTGTTTTTTCAATACTGAGGATTAAACCCTGGACCTTCGCATTGAGCTACATCTCCAACACCTCCTCCCCTTGTTTAACTTTTATTTTGAAATGGGATCTTGTTGAGTTGTTAAATTGCCCAAGCTGAGTAGAACTTGCAGTCCTTCTGTCTTCTCCACCCAGACTGCTGTTATTATAGGATGACACCTGGGTTCACCTTTAAAAAGCAGATTTACACTGTACCTGTGACATACTTCTTGTATTTGTTCCAAGGGTCATCTACTTAAGCCATATATCGATCTTCTTCCCTTCTCTGTTCATGGTTTGTTTGTTTGATAGGTTTTTGGCTAAAGAAATTAGAATTCTATTATTCTAAACTTAGTGCCCACCCAGGCCCACCCCTGGGGCTTGCTGAGATGGCAGTTGAGACTGGGTGTGGTGGTGCATGCCTGTAATCCCAGCTCTTAGGAGGCCATAAACAGGCGGATCACTACGAGTCCGATGTAGTAGTGAGATCCTGAGCAGCCTCAGACCCTTTTCTAAAAATACTAAAAAACCAAAAACAAACAAACAAACAAAAAACCTTAGACCTGATGTCTTCATTACACATATGGAATTTCTTCTTGAGCATGGTGCTTACTCTGTATGGAGATTTTTGAGCAATGTTCTTGTCACCCTGCTTAGTCACAGCCTCTGTGTCATAGAAATCAGAGCAGTAGCATTCAGAAGGGAAGCTAGAAGCCCAAGCAGGGCCCATCCTGGGACAAATGGACGAAGTTCACATGTCTTTTCTATGACTGCACTTCAGTATTCCTGGTCTTGATTCTAGCTTGGTCTAATTGAACAACAGATCAAGCCATCCCTTTGAGTACTGGCTTCATCATGTCTAGCACAGGACCAGCTGTGTGGAGAGCCAATAAGTATGATGGCAGAGGAGAGGAGGAAGGGAAGAGGCATGGGATGGGGGAGAAGAGGAGGAGGGAAGAAATGAAGAGGAAATGTGGCATCCCATGCTGGGCAAAGGTTAGGGCCCCAACCTGCCACAGTCCCACCTGCTGGGTGGCAGCAGAGTACAAGGTCCCTATAGTTTAGGCAGCGACATACAGCAGAGTCTTCTGGTCCTCCTATGACCCCATCCAGGTCCAGGGGTGTCTGGGGAACAAGGCAGGAACTGGCAGGAGAGTTAGGCAACAGGATAGCCAGGGAAGGACAGCTTGGGACTGCACCAGAGTGGACACTGTGAGGGCCAGGGCCTGGCTTGCCCTGGGGAGGTGGCAGTAGGATGCAGGTTATAGATTTCCCAATGTGTGGCTGAGTTGCCAGGCCGATTCCTACCCTGTCCTAGCGGCCCCAAGGAGGCATCTTTCTTGATCAATATAAGGGGGACCCTGCTGACACACACAGGCTTTGGAGCCCACACATGCCAAGAGCGCCCATCCCTTCTGTGGGTCCTCAGCTTCTGCCCTGCTTTGATGTGCTCCCGCCCAGGTGCTCACTTTTACCAAGAACCCTGCTGAGAACTGGTGAAGCTCATGATGTTTGTGGGGACAAATAGTGAGAGGATGAAGAAATAAAGATAAGAGACTAAAGCTGAGGTCAGGTGGAGCCCTCTCTCCAGGTGGGAGGAAAGGAACTGCCCAAGGCCCACAGAACATTTATTTACACACTCAGGAGATTGATGTCATTTTCAGCCTCTGCCTAGCAACTGCAACCTGGAGCAGCCTGTTTGCGTGGCCAAGGAGCTCTCCCTGTTCTCAGGGCCAGCTTTATCTTAGCTCCACAAGTGTGATTGATTTCTAGCTACAGCCACTGGCAGAGCCCAGGGGGATGTGGCGTTGGAGAAGTTGTGGTAAGCCTGGGCTCTTCCTGACTGGCACTCACTGGCACTCACTGGTCCTGTGCCTCAGTTTACCCCCACTGTGGCACAAAGTCAAGATCCCAACTTAGAGTTTTGGGGGCTAAGGGAGGCCATCACTCCTGGTTAAGTGGCTGCAATATGTGACAGTGTAGTTGAAAGACAATTGTCATACTCTGGGAACCTGAATGAGGAGGACTACAAGTTTGTGCTCAGCACAAACAAACAACTCAGTCAAGGGGCATGTCAAGACCTTGACTCAAATAAAAAATTTTAAAAGGGTTGAGGATACAGCACATTGCAAAGGCCATGGTATATTTCCCAGTATTGAAAGAAATCCTTCACATACATACCCACATTATAATGCTAAATTCTCCACCCTACACAGTTGTTTTCCCATCCATCATTTTCAGACACATACAGTATGAAGGAATGCAAGCTGGAATGTGAGCTCAATCCAGCACACTCCAGAATATGCTGCCTTGCCCTGTGATGGCCAGACTTGATATAGAGGAAAGAAACTCCAGATTTGCTAGATATCTGGTATGAGTTTGTGTTCTGTAAAATCAAAGAATGAATTTTAGGAATTCAGAGCAGAATATATTTATTGGAGGGAAAAAAGCTTGAGAGAGAGAGAGAGAGAGAGAGAGAGAGAGAGACCAGACCAGACCAGACCAGATCAGACAGAGTTCACTAAGAAAGACATCTATCTATCAGACAAGTACATGAGAGGTTATAGTAAACAGACATTAACTAAGTGAAAATTTAAACCACAAGAGGCCAGCATTCTATCCCTGTTGAACAGTTAAAGTTGTAGTCTGACCACTCAAAAGGCTGGTGAGGAAGCACGGGATCCAGACCTCTCCTGCCACACTCAGAAAAGAGTTTGATGGTTTATTCAAAAGTTAAACACACACCTACTGGGTGACTCAGCCCTTCTAATCCTGTGTGCACGCCTATGGAGATGTCTACAAGAACATTCACACCAGTTGTTTCCAATAATCAAAAACGACAATGTAGTGAGCATCAACCAGCAGCTGAATGAATGAACAAACTCTAGTAACCAATGCAGAGGATTTCTACTCATCAAAACCTAGGAATAGTTTGTGCATTGATCTCAAAATAATTATGTTTGGTGAAAGAGGCCGGACAGGTCACATTGCGCACACTGAGTTACGCACATTTCTAGAAAATGACAGCACATCTCCATGACAGAAGGCAG